CACTCGTAGGTGGGGAGGAGGAGCTTCTCCAGGCTCTTTCTCCTGCTGCTGCTGCTGCTGCTGCTGCTGCTGCTGCTGCTGCTGCTCCAACTGCTGCTGCTCCTGGGCGGGGTTGTCCAGGTGGAAAGAAAGGGCGAGGAGAGTAGGAAGAATCAGCAGAAGGGAAAGGCCCGCGGGGCTCTGCAGCAGTATAAGGAGAATAAGAAGGTGCAGCACCAGCAGCAGCAGCAGCAGCAGCAGCAAGTTGGCTTCGTGCTGCTGCTGCAGAAGAAGAAGACAGAGGTGCGGAGACACCCCACTGACTGTCTTCCTCATCAGCAGCTTCGCCAGCAGCAAACGGTATTTCCCAGGGTGCAGTGTTATAAGGATGTTGATAACGCCGTTGATGCTGCTGCTGCTGCTGCTGCTGTTGCTGCTGAGGAGGATGAGAATAAGAAGGACGATGATAATGCCGTTGCTGTTGTTGCTGCTGCTGCTGCTGCTGCTGCTGCTGAGGGCGCCACGACTCCAGCGGGGGTCCGAGGCCGGGAAGGGTGCGCAGCAGCTGTTGTTGCTGTTGTTCGTTTTGCACCTGCAGCTGCTCAAGCTCCAGCTGCAGCTGCTGCAGCTGCAACTCCAGATGCTGCTGCTGCTGCTGCAGCAGCAGCTGCAGCTGCAACTGCAGCTGCTGCTGCTGTTGCGGGAGCGGGTGCTGCCGCTGCAGATGCTGCAGCATCTGTTCGTTCTGTTTTTGCTGCCGTTGCTGTTGCTCCAGCAGCTCCAGCAGCTCCTGCACCTGGTGCTGCAGCTGGTGCTGGTACTGGTGGGGGTGGCGATGACGATGCTGCAGCTGCTGGTCCTGCTGTTGGTGGTGGTGCTGCATCTGCTGCAGCTGGTGCTGCATCTGCTGCTGCAGCTGCTGCAGCTGGTGCTGTAGCTGTTGCTGCAGTTGCTGTTGCAGCAGTTGCTGTTGCTGCTGCTGGTGGAACTGCTGCTGCTGCTGTTGCTCGATATTCTGGATCTGCTGCTGCAGTCGCTGCATCTCCTGCAGGTGCAGCTGCAGCTGCTGCCTCTGCTGCTGCGGCTGCTGCAGTGGCGACTCAAACGAAGAGTGAGAGGGAGGCCAGCGTCCGTAACGTGGGGGGCCCCTCCGTGCATGTGAAGAGGGGGGCCCCGCCCATATTTCTTCTGTCTCTTGCTGCTGATCTTTGTACGTCGATGGATACAGTTGGGGCGGTGGCGGAGGAGGAGAAGAAGAAGCAGCTGCCTGGGTAGTTAGCTGGCTAGCTAGCTGGAGGGCTAGCTGGCTGACGTCACGAGATGGTTCAGGTGTGGTGGTAGCACGAGAGCCAAATAGCTGGCTAGCTAGCTCGCTAGCTAGTTTACTAGCTATGTCGCTCAGATCCTGGCTAGCTGGCTGTCTAGCTGGCTGGCTAGCTGGGTGGCTAGCTGGGTGGCTAGCTGGCTGGCTAGCTGGGTGGCTAGCTGGCTGGCTAGCTGGCCCTGGAGGATGAAGAAAGGGCTGCTGTAGTGAGCCAAAAGCTAATCTTCCACCAGCAGCAGCAGAGCCTGCTAATCCTGCTTCTGCTGCTGCTTCTGCTGCTGTTGCTGCTGCTGCTGCTGCTGCTGCACGATCAGCAGATAGATGCGGGTAGAAGCCGTCTCCTCCCGCTTCAGCACCAGCAGGAGGAGTGGATAGCATCTGAGCGGCAGCAGAAGAAGAAGCAGGAGGAAACTGCTGCTGCCGCTGCTGGTGCTGTTGCTGCTGTTGCTGCTGTTGCTGCTGTTGCCGTTGTTGTTGCTGTTGCTGCTGTTGCCGCCGTTGTTGCTGTTGCTGCTGTTGCTGCTGTTGCCGCTGTTGTTGCTGTTGCTGCTGTTGCTGCTGTTGCCGCTGTTGTTGCTGTTGCTGCTGTTGTTGCTGTTGCCACTGTTGTTGCTGTTGCTGCTGTTGCTGCTGTTGTTGCTGTTGCCGCTGTTGTTGCTGTTGCTGCTGTTGCTGCTGTTGCCGCTGTTGTTGCTCTTGCTGCTGTTGCTGCTGTTGCTGCTGTTGCTGCTGTTGCAGCAGCAGGTATTGCTGTCGTTGCTCTTCCTGCTGCTGCACCAATTGCTCCCTCCAACGTTGGCGTTCCTTGTGCGCCGATGGCCGCTGCCCCTGCTGCTGTTGCTGCTGTTGCTGCTGTTGCTGCTGTGACAACCTCCGCTGCTCCTCCTGCCACGTATCTTCCTCTGGCTGCTGCTGCTGCTGCTGCTGCTGCTGCTGCTCCTCTTCCTGCTGCTCCTCCTTCTCCTGCCCTTCCGCCTCCCCCCGCTGCTGCTGCTGTTGGTGCTGGTGGTGCTGCTGGCGCTGCAACAGCCGCAGCTGCTGCTGCTGCTGCTGCTGTTGCTGCTGCTGCCGGTGCTGATGGCGCTGTTGATGCTGCTGCTGCTGCTGGTGCTGGTGCTGTTGCTGCTGCTGTTGCTGCTGCTGCTGCTGCTGCTGGTGCTGGTGCTGGTGCTGCCCCTGCTGCTGCTGCCGATGCGGTTGCCGCTGCTGTTGCTGCTGCTGCGGTTGCCGCTGCTGTTGCTGCTGCTGCGGTTGCCGCTGCTGTTGCTGCTGCTGGTGCTGGTGCTGATGCTGCCCCTGCTGCTGATGCCGCTGCAGTTGCCGCTGCTGTTGCTGCTGCTGCGGTTGCCGGTGCTGTTGCTGCTGCTGCTGCTGGTGCTGGTGCTGGTGCTTCCCCTGTTGCTGCTTCCGCTGCGGTTGCCACTGNGTTGCTGCTGCTGCTGCTGGTGCTGGTGCTGGTGCTTCCCCTGTTGCTGCTTCCGCTGCGGTTGCCACTGCTGTTGCTGGTGTTGTTGTTGGTGGTGATGCTGCTGCTGCTGGTGCTGCGGCTGCTGCTGCTGTTGCCTTCTTTGCTGCTTTTGTTGTCTCTTTTCTTGCTCTTTCTTCTGTCTTTCTGTCTCCCCTGCCATCGCCGTATCTATTCTTTCCTGCAGCCCCCTAAACCTTTTTCTCGTTCTTTTTACTTCGTCTGGTGTACTGAATCGAGGGGGCCTTAATTGTTTTGCGTTTTCTTGTGTTTCTACGTGAAGCAAACAATATCTTCTTTTCTTAGATTGATGTTCTTCTATATACTTCATCACTCCTGCATCTGTTTCTAGTCTTCTTCTTCTATGGTGACGGCCAAAGGAGACCATATGCCGCACAAACAAAGAAACTTCTTTATGCATAAGAAAAGAAACAGGATGAAACTGCAGCATCTGCTGCAGTGCACGCGTGCATGCGCTTATACATATTGCTGCTATTCTTGTTTCATCTACTAATATAACTCTATGCACTCCTTCTCTCTTTTTTTCTGGTCTTGCTCTTGTTTTTTTTAATAGTTGTAGCATATGTTCTGCTCTCTCTAGATGAGAAACATCTACTTCTTTATTTCCTTTTTGCTGCTGCTGCTTCTGCTGCTGCTGCTGCTCTTGCTTCAGCTGCTGCAGCAATCTATATCCCTGACCCAGCAGCCAATCTATCGTTTCTTGTCTTAGCTGTTCAACTGAGTCTTCTGCATATACAGCTAAAACAACTAACTCCTGAATACAAAAAGGAAGAAGAAGAGAAAACAGAGAAGCTCTGGTTTCTTCTTCTATACACGGCAATGCATCCATTGCAGCATTCATCAGCTCTTTTATATTTCTTAGTGTTGCTCTTGCTGCTGCTGCTGCTTCTGCTACTGTTGGTATCTTTTCGGTTTTTTCTTTTGGTGGTCTTCCTCCTTCTGCCCCTTTTTCTTTTTCTTTTTCTTTTTCTTCTTTTTCTTCTTCTTCTTCTTCTCCCTCTTCTTCTTCTTCTCCGTATTCTTCTTCTTCTTCTTCTTCTTCTTCTTCTCCGTATTCATCTTCATCTTCTTCTTCTTCTTCTTCTTCTTCTTCTCTGCATGCACTGTCGTCTATACCAGCTAGAGAGCGAGAGAAAGAGAGAGAAGCAGATTGCTGCTGCTGCATCAGATGATTGTAGCAGCGAAGAACAATAAATACAGCAGCAATACAAGCCAACGCAGCAACACTAACACGAAATACTAGATCTTTCTGCTGCTGCTGCTGCTGCAATGTACGCCGTTTGCCGTGCTGCTGCTGCTCCTGCTGCAGCTGCAGCAACCCCCATTCCTCCTGCTGCTGATGATGTTGCTGCTGCTGCATGTGCAAACCAGCAGCAGCAGAATTGAAATTACTAACGGACATATCCGAAGAAAAAGGAAAAGAAGAAGAAAGAGAAACAGATGTATGGGTGGGGGCAACACTTCGGCCCCCAAATTCTGCTGCTGCTGCTGCTGCTGGTAGTGCTGCTGTTCTGTCTGCTTCAGCTGTTGCTGGTGTTGCTGCTGCTGCTGCTGCTGCTGCTGCAAGCAGAAGAACCCCAAACCTGCAACCGCTCCAGCGGCCACCACCACCACCAGAAGCAGCAGGAGCAGCTGCAGCACCTGCAGCAGCAGCTGCCATAGCTGCAGCAGGTGAAGCAGCAGCAGCAGCAGCAGCAGAAGGCATTGTTTTTAGTTTGGTTTTAATTGCATTTTGTCTGCGAAAGACAAAAAGAGAAGATGACGATGGANAGGCATTGTTTTTAGTTTGGTTTTAATTGCATTTTGTCTGCGAAAGACAAAAAGAGAAGATGACGATGGAGACACGAAAAGCATCGGCTGCATGCACTACAAAAAGGAAAAAGCGAGAAAAAGAAAGGGAGAAGAAGACGATGAAGAAGAGAAGAAAAAACAAGAAAAAGGAAGAGAAACAGAGAGGAGAATGAACAACAAAGAGCCGCTTAGGCCTGCAACAGGAGGAGCAACACCAGATCACTCTTTCTGCTGCTGTTGCTGCTGGTCCTTTGCGTTTGTTTATCTATGATTTATGTGAGGCAGAAGCAGCGCCTGCTGATACTTTTTGGTGCTGCTGCTGCTGCTGTTGCTGCTGCATACAAGTCATTGAATACGAAACGCGAAGGGGTCAGCAGCAGCAACACCAGGAGCAGCAGCAGCAGCAGCAACAAGAGCAGCAGAATGATGTTTAAACATTTCGTTGGAATGTAGATCTAATATGAAATGAGAAGAAAAAGAAAAAGAGACAAAGAAGAAGAAATACAATACTACTTGAGTAGGAGGAGAAATGCACAACAAATTTTGTTTGGCCTGAAGCAAAACTAGTGACAGAAAGGGGAGGTTTTAATAAATAATATAATGGAGTTTAATAAAAAAAAGAAAAAAATAAGAGGAAAAGAAAGAGGAAAGAAATACATGAAATCAGATGAGTCGATTGCCANAAAAAAAAGAAAAAAATAAGAGGAAAAGAAAGAGGAAAGAAATACATGAAATCAGATGAGTCGATTGCCAGCAGTGAACCGGAGGATTCTGCTGCTGGTCATGCAGCTGCTGTTGTTGTTTTGTTGCTATCCATATAGTTTTATATGTTTTTTTTTGTATCCAAGGAGTTTAACAACAATAAAACAATATATTTATTGTATTTATATAGATACAATTACCATAAAAATACACAAACTATAGGGGGGGAAACTGCAGCAGTCGACTGCCGCCGATGTATGTGCTGCAGCTGCTGCTGCTCTTGTTGCTGGTGTTGCTGTTGCTGGTGCTGATGAAGGCAGCAGCGCAGCGTACACATTGAAATAAAATAACTATTCATATTGCTAGTAATATCGTAATTATTAAAACTATCAATTGTTTGTTTACGGGTTTATTCTCTACACAACAGCAGCAGCAGCAGCAGCAGCAAGCAAACGCTGCAGCAGCAGCAAGTGAATCGACGCTCCGGGCTGCTTCGTCTGTCCTTCTCTCTACCCTCTCCCGTTTCTGTTTTTGCCTTTGTTTTGTTTTATTTTGGTTTTTGCGTTTCCTTTTGCATGCAGGTGGTGATTGTTCAGAATTTTTCGGTTAACCACTGGTTCTGCTGATGCTGCCGTACCGCAGTGTGGGGCGCTGAGCCGCTCCTGCGGCTTCTGCTGCAGCAGCAGCGGCTGCTGCAGCAACTCAGGAGAGACAGAATCTGTGTAACATTACCTGCCCGAAGTTATTATAGGAACATTTACCTGGCCTTGATATGCTGCATGCAAGCAAATAAATATGCTCCATAAGTGTCTACAGAGTTACAGCATGCAGCAAAGGAAACGTCGTTAAAACATCCTTGTGCTTACACGTGAGGCTGCCTCTCCAGATGCAGCCGAGCGCACTGCAACCCCTTTCAGACTGTCTCCTCCCCAGCAAACCCAGGGCCCTAGCTGAACGCCCAGGGCTGTTGGAGAGAGGTGAGGGAACTCATCTGCCATGGAGAAAGGCTTACCTCAAGTCTTTGGCTTCATTGCAGCTCGCCTTAGTCCTTGAACAAAGCCGAAAAGTAAGCGCTATACTTGCTAGCGCCGCATTGTTCGTCAGCGCAGGCGCGAGCAGCGACGCCCACCCTGCAGGGCGGTCACATGCATAGCTGAGAAGAGGGAAAAAAATATTTCTTTTCAAAATATTTCTTTTCCTTTAGAAAAAGGTTCTTCACCAAGGTTCTGCCGTTTCCCTTCTGACCGATGGAGGTTGAGCATGATTCCTCCGCATGTGGGAGGTGTGACACACGGTCTGGAGCATCTTCAAGAAGAGGCGATCTCGATTTCTGCAACTAATTCGAGAAAAAGTGCATTTTCACCAGTACCAATTCAAGAGGAATGCCTCCGACTGTGCCGTCCATCACAATATGACAGACGCCGAGACGCCGAAACACTGGAACCGTTCTTTGGTTCCCTCGACCTATACCCCCCTATTCAAAAGGCATCGGAGAATCTACAACTGCTACTCTGATCTTCTCTTTTAGAAGCGGATGCACGACGGTGGTGGCTATGGCTAAGCAACGGTCCCGCTTTCCCAGAGCGCATCAGATCCGTGCAGGCTTCTGCGATGTTGCGCGGTGATTTGCGCATGGCAGGATTACGAAAAGTTAACTAGGGGCAAATGTCGACAGAACGCTGCATTGCGCACTGTGAGTCAGTACTGCAGAGAGTTCTGCCTGTAGACTCCGAATATAAGTATCAATGGCTCGTCGCCGAGCTGCCCTACCTCGTGAGGAAACTGGTAACTAGCTGGAATACTAAGGGCTGAAAGGATTAAACTTGCCGAGATGATAGATTACTTGCATGAAAGAGAACGAAAGAATGTGAACACTGCTACCCCAGCTGAGAAGGGAGAAGGCGGAAGTGGGCACGGCTCCGATAAAGAACTTATGGATATTGGACCTGTGCTTGCTGGGCCCACCCGGAGACGGATTAGAAACGGCAACCGGCAGCAGACAGCGAGTGCTACCCCCGGGAAACCGGACGGACGTACGAAACGGCCTATTTGCATATTTTCCAGTAAACAGAATCACGCATCTTTCAGAATTATGTGGGGGGCTAGCGAATCAGTGAAGGCGAACCTCAAACAAAGGATCGAGGGCAACAAACTAAGCAATCGGGGAAACCCCTCGGCCCCCACGAAACGTGCGGGCAAGAGATGGGGTAGCAAGAAATGACGACCGCACCCTCAAATTCATATCAAGTGAATTACTTGCGTGTACACACTCGTATCAAAGGCCACGAGTTGCTAACCCTACTCAATACGGGATGCTAAGTGGATCTGATATTAGAAGCCACGGCAAGGAGGTGCAACATATCCGCCCACTCGTTAGCGGAGTCCCTGAGATTACGCTTTGCGGGTGGTATGTAGTATGCAAGAGTCGGCAAATCCATGGGAGTAATCTTGAGCCCTAAGTTTCAGAAAGGGGCAGATGTGCATGACAAAAAGCCTTTTCATTGGACCGGTTCACCGCGATCTAGTGCTAGGTGTGAGAAACTCCCAGACAGCAGGCCAGCTAAGGAAATTTGGGGCTTTAGGGATCATGAGACCCTCAGAACTTGATCCCACTCACGTCAATTGATGCACCAAACAATGCCAGCAACTCTGCATCTTGTGCCGCCGACGACAACAGAAACGCCAACGAAAACCCAACTGTGAGGCCAACTAGGGATCCGAGTTCCCTCACACGATGGGGTGTTGTGAATCCGTAATACTGGAGGTACAGTGCGCCCAGCGAAGCTGGTGCTGTAATGCACTGACGCGCCTTTGCACCGCGTACGGAACCCGCTAAGTGAGGTTGTTCGCAACTAATACGAGCGGGATCTACGAAACTAGTCCTTAGTAACAGTCACGTAGACAGTTTAGTGGACAAATATTACAGGAAAATAGTTCTCTGGGGCCGATATCCCCTCCCTATCCGTTCACCCCTAACTAGGCGATCGGTCGACCAGATCTGAGAACCGCGGGGGTCGCCGGCGTGGGGCCGCCACGCTGCGGCCTGCCTACGTTCTGCGGTGACTCCGCCTCTAACGAGGGAGTCGGCTATCCTCGGCTAACCACTTTCGCTCTACGATTTGGTTAACTAACTTAAGATTTTGAACGTAATTATAAATAAAAAATCAGTAAGTATGACACTGCGAGGCGCATCCTTCAGACCCCACTGCTGAGTGCAAAGGGCCGGCAGGCATAAATTGACAGACACCCCCACGTATACTCTCCTATGCTACAGGCACTCAGACATCTCGTCTGATCCAGCAAAATATCAAAGGCAACGAAGCTTGAAGAAGGTTTCTGCCCTTCTTTTTATCTCAGAATTGTTCTGTCCGCAACCGCACTAGACCCGGCACTGCGGCTTTAGGGGCTGTAGTGAATACTCACTACACTCACGGCAACGATGCAGTGCTTGTGTGTATGAGTGGTGGTTGAATGAACAGTGGAAGTGTCTGTGAATGCATATTGGTGTACATTGATTATAACATTGGTGAATGCATTAAACATTCTTCATGAAGTGACCATTGGTAGGAGTATAGGAGAAGCTGGCACGAGCCTTGGTGGAAAAGGTATTGCAACATGCTCTGCCCTCTCCTCTCCCAGCCCCAAAGGCCCCTGTGCCTGCTCTAGTGGGGTTGCAGAAGAGAGCAATTTTGAAGAGGAAACTGAAAGAAGTAATTTCCTTTAGCCTTTGTTAGTTTGTTATGTTGTTCTTCCAGTATGAATAGTTATTTTTTGCCAGCTCGCTATACTCAACTGTAAGGTTCTATGGATGTGTGAGAAACTGCCCTTTAGAAGGGCCAGTCTAAAGGGAGTTTAAGGCCTTAGGGATAATGTGGCCCTCGGAACATGATCCCACTCACGTCAGTAGATGCACTACTCTCTGCCAGCAGCTGTGCGTCTTGTGCCCCCACCGACAACACAAACGCAGATGAAAGACACAATTGTGAGGCCTAGAAGGGATCCAAGTTCCCGCACGCGATGGGGTGGTGCGATTCCATAACAGTAGAGGTACTGCGGGCCCTGTAAGCTGATGAGAAGTGGGGGAGAGCACTCAGTACCTCATGCAATGCTGAGACCTGGTCAAGATAACTTAGAGTATTTCTCTTTAGTACAAAGATTTGCAGTTAGCAAATCTTTGTACAACCTAGTACGTATTACTAGTTTGTATCTCTGAAGGACTACTGTGGGGCGCATCCGTGGAACCCCACAGCTGAGTATAGCGAGCGGGCAAGCAATATCTATCATACTGAACAACAACATATCAAACTAACAAGGGTTAAGGAAATTCGTTCTCTCAGTTTATTCTTCTTAATTGTTCTCCCTCAACCCAAATAGGGCCGGCACTGCGGCCTTTGGCGCTGGAAGAGGAGAGGGCGTAGCATGTTGCAATACCTTTTGCACCACGGCTCATGCCAGCCTCTCCTAAAAATATTAATGATCACTCCACAAAGAATGCTTAATGCGTTCACCAATGTTATATTCAATGTACATCAATAAGCGCTCACAGACACTTCCACTATTTATACAACCCTCACTCATTTCACAACGAGCATGGCATTGTTACCGTGATTATAGTGAGTACTCACTACAGGAGGCGCCCCACCGTAGTCCTTCAGAGATACAACCCCGTAATACGTAATGGTAAGTGCAAATATTGATACTAAAGAGAAATACTCTAACGTTATCTTGAGCAGATCCCAGCATAACATGTGAGGGACTGAGGGCTGTCCCCACAACGTATCAGCTTACATGGCCCGCAGTACCTCCAGTGTTATGGATTCGCATCACCCCATCGTGCGAGGGAACTTGGATCCTTACTAGGTCTCACAATCGTGTTTTTCGTCTGCGTGCGTGTTGTCGCTGGGGGCACAAGACGCAGGGCTGCAGGCATTGAGTGGTGAGTCTAATGACGGGAGTGGGATCATGCTCCGAGGGCCCTATGATCGCTAAGGCCCGAAGCTCCCCCTACTCAAGCCTTCTGAAAGGGAACTTCTCACATGGGTTGGGAGGGGCGACGGCCTGGCATGTTGCAACACCCTTTGCACCAAGTCTCATGCCAGCCTCTCCTATAGTCATAATCATGCGCCTCTTTGTAGACAATATCTAGTACATTTACCAATTATTTACTTAATAAACAAAAGTATGCTCCCACACGCATTTCCACTATTCAGTCAACCCTCGCTCTCGCACAACGAGCACAGCAATGTTTCCGTGACTGTAGTGAGTATTCACTACACGTGTAATGCCTGGCTGCATCTAAGCCCCTCTCGCGGAACCCGCTAGAGTGCAGTAGTACGCAGCTATTACGAACCGGATCTACGGTGCTAATCGTTTCAAATAGTAATACGAGTAGTTTCGTGG